ACCGGTAACACCCGCTCCCGAGCACGGTCGGGGGGGACCACCCTTTTCAACCGTCAAGAGTTGGATGATCCAACATCCATGCGAATCCTCGCCGCGCTGGCGGCGCGGCCCACGGGACTCCGAGTGCACGCGCTCACATCCCAAGCAAAAGAATCGCTCCCATGTTCAGCGGGGGCCAACCTTGTGCTCGACAGGCGTTCCGTGCTTTTCGTTTGTCGGCCAGCGCGCGGTCATTCCACTCTGGCGGGAATGGCCGCGCTGACCGACAAACGAAAAGCACGGGACGTGTTGCGACAACGGAACACCTAGTCGACCATCTCGCCGCGAGCTGCACCCTGGCCGCAGGCGTCGAACCAAGCGTCCATGCCCGAGTTGGCCTTGAACGACTTCGGGAGCTGCGTCGTCTTGGCCGCGACCCACGCGGCGGCCGCGGCTGCGAGAGCGCCCGATGGCGACTTCTCGCGGACGCGGTCCTCCAAGAAGTAGCTGATGCCGTAGCTGGCCAGGTGCTTCACCTCGGCGCCGCGCTTGGACTCCTTGAGGTTGGGCTTCTTGCTCTTCCAGTCGATGCTGGCCGCGATGGGGATCAAGGGCGGCACGTAACCCATCGGCACGTACACAGCGCTGCCCGCCTCGAGCAAGCACGACCGATGCTTGTAGAGCGCCCCAGACTCGGCGTTCTCCAGCAGACCGTTGAAATCAAGATTTTTTGAGACCCAATCAGGATCTACGATGACCACCATCGAGAGACCACTGAACTGCTGGACGAAGATCGGGCACTGAGACCATGGCAGCGTGGTCTTTTCAGTCTCCCACTCCCCAGTGCTGCGCCCATATACGGCCATGCGGAGCCCGCCCAGTGGGTCAGTCGAAACATCGCCATCTTCGCCGTCGAGCTTGAAGCAGAAACTCGGCGTGTAGCCCAGGGTCCCCCAAGCCGATCCCAAGTCATTCTTCCGCATGTAGTCTCTCACCTCTGTCATTTTGGCCGCCATGGGCTTGTCCTGCTCCTCGCACATGTTCGCGAACGTCTGTTGGAAGATGTCCCTGGAAGCCTTATCCACGTCCTGCGGCTTCCTGATGATGAACGGCTCCAGGAACGTGTTCACGCAGATGTTGTTCGCAGGGTGGTCTGCAACCACATTGTACTCAATCTTCAATCCGTACTCGTTCGATGGCATGCCCAAGTCGTTCAAGGTGTTCGCCGATATCATCGCCGCGGCGTCTGGCAGCCTCTTGCCAATCAGGTACGACCTGATCTTGCCCCTCACGAACCTCCACTCGCGCGAGAGCCCACTCTTCTCCAAGCGCTTCTTGGCCACGATAGCCTCGGGCAGGTTCACAACTTGGGGCGGGGGGGCACGGTGCAGGGCGAAGGCAGGGGGGGGCCTGCGGGGGGGCGGCGGGCGGCGGCGACGGGGGCATGACCGCGCGGTCCACCCGCGCCTCTGCCCCCTCCCCTCGTCTGCATCCTTCCTCGAGGAACTGCCGACTCCCACGCCGCCCCTCGCCGCCGCCCCCCCCCTTGGAGCGCCTCCACTGCCCGCCGCCCCCGTCTCCCTTGTCGACCCCCGCCCTGCCTCCGCCCCCTCCGCGCGCGCCTGCAAGCCAGTCTCGTGGCGGCGGAAGCGCCTCACCTCCTCCCTCCACTCCTGCACGCGCCGACTGATCGCACTCTTCCCCTGGCCGAAGTCGAGGCCCTCGTCCCACTTCTGCGTGTGCTCACGCAGCTTGTCCAGATTCTCCTTGGCCTTCTTGAGCCTGGACAAGCAGTCGGGCAAGTTCAGACGAGCGACGCGCTCCTGGGCGGAGAGGGAGGGGCACGTCGCCGTCGACCGAGCCCGCCCAATGGGGGTCCAAGAGGAGCCCAAGAGACCCAAGAGGGCCCCAAGGGGACCTGAAACCAAGCGCGCGCAAGCGGGATGTTGCACACGCTTGGTCTTGGGCCCCCTTCGGGCCTTCCGAGAGGGATCGAATAGGGCTCTCGGGGCCCTCGCGGAGCTCTCTTCAGGCCCGTTTGGGGCTCTCTCGGAACCTCTTAGTGGCCCAAGGCGGCCCCAGGAAAGCCACGTCCCCCAGCGTCCCCCTCATAAGCCACCAACTCCTCTCCAACCATTACCATCCTACGCCTGGCCAACACTCCCGCGCAGGGCTCCTCCTTGCCAATCTCCGCGATCTGGGTCTCCAGCCACTCGATGATGCACACCCCGTCCGCCTGGGGGCGCGACGAGCGGCCCGCGCCGCCGAGCGCCCCCAGTGCCCAACAATCCTTCCCATTTCTCTGCGTCGGTCGGGCATCGCCCACGCAGCCACCCCCTCCCCGCCGTGGCCAAACCTCGCCCCCCTGGTCTGTCTCATCGTCCCGCATCCTCCTTCGCTGCCTCAATCCAGCTGCCGTGCCCCCTCCCCCCACCTCTGCCCCTGCTCGTCCTCGTTGCCATCCGCCTCATTCCTCCTCGGGCTCGCCGTCGCGTTCGAGGCCGCGCGATCCGCCGGCGGCCCGATGGGGGGGGGGGCACGCTGGGCGCGGGGCGGGGGTGCCGAAGGGGTTGGAGGAGGACGCGAAGGTTTGGGGCGTCGGGGAAACGGTGCATGAGGGGAGGGGCCGAGGATGGAAGGGGCTGCAAACAAAAGTAGCGCGCGTCGCGCTGGGGCAACTTCCAGTGGGCTGGGGCGGAGGCTGCAGCGATGCAGCAGTGATCGCGAACGCAGCCTCCACAGGAGGCTGCGTTCGCGATGCACTGCGCCTCGATGCCTCTTAGAACGCCTCGAATGTCGAACCCATCCGAGGCTGCGTTCCGCTGAAACCTTCCCGAACCCATCCGAGGCTTCTTGAAGCCTCGGATGGGTTCGGAACGGTTTCAACGGAACACGGCCTTATCATCGCCCTTCATCCCCCCCCCCCCCGCAGTTGGTCGGCGGCGGGGCCTGCTCCGACAGCGCGACCTCCTCCAAGTACTCCGCGATCCAGTCCTGGGCGTTCCACATGTCCACGGTCTCCTCGAAGTGGCTCGGCAGCTCGGCGAACCTCGCCTCCCAGATCTCGATCTTCTGCGTGTGGGCGACCTCCATGGCGTGGGCCGCCGCAGGCGACTGGGTCGACCGCGCGCGGCTGCTGCGAGCCGAGCGGCGGCCGCTGAAGGCCGAGACGGCGTCGGCCACGCGGTCGTCCTCCGAGAGGCTCGCAGCAGCCGCGTCCCCCTCCTGCTGCTCCTCCTCCTCCTCCTCCTCCTCCTCCTCCTCCGACTGCTGCGAGCTCACGTTCTGCGAGCAGCCGGCGCGCGGAGGAGTCGGGGCCTCGAGCCGCGGGGCCGACGGGCCCAGGCCCGAGCGGCGAGACGCCGCGCGAGACGGCGGCGAGGCGTGCTCGCGGCCGCTGCTGCGACGCCGATGCGACCCGCCGCCACGGCGCCTCGAGCGCGACCTGCCGCGGCGCTCCTCGGCCGAGCCCAGCTCCAAGCCAGCCCGCTCGAACCTCGAGCAGCGCTGGAGCGGATGCGCGAAGACCGCCTGGGCCTCGGCGGCGTCGACGGGCCAAGCCTTCCCCGAGCCTCTCACGGACAGCTTCAGCGCCTCCTTGTGCTTCTCGCTGCGCATGCCGCTCAGCACGAGGCAACGCTCGCCCTGACAGACGACCTCCTTCAGCCTGTTGCCGAACTCGTCAACCTGCAGGGAAGGGGAAGGGGAAGGGAATGCGAGGCAGGGCGAGGCGCCCCCAGGCTACCCTTTCCCCTCATGTGGCCCATCAGTCTCATCTTGGGGCTCTCTCGGGGCCTTCTTGGGTCTGCGTCGGGCCCTTCCCATAATTGCTGGTGGTCTCCTCCCCCTCCCCCTCCTCCTCCTCCTCCTCCTCCTCCTCCTCATCCTCCTCGTTCCCCCCCTCCTCTACCGATGGTCACCTCATCGTCCTACCGATGGTCACCAAGATGCATCGGGAAAACGGGCTGCCGCGGCAAAACATGGCCCCTAAGGGCCATGTTTTTGCCGCGGCAGCCGTGGAACAGAGCGGGCGGTCTTACCGCTCGCGCTCAGAGGGCTGGCGGGGCTCTCATGGGGCCGCGTGGTGATCCCCCCCTCTTCCCACCCCCTCCTCCCTCCTCCTCCCCCTCCTCCTTCCCCTCCACCCCTCCTTCCCCCCCGGGAAAAAAATGGGGCTAGCGCCGCGATCTCGACGACAATCGGGGCGCTAGCCCCAAGGTTTGTTTCGAGCCCTGCCAGTTGCCCGTTGCCGCGCCGCGGGGGGGAAGGGGGAGGGGGGGGGGGGGTCCACCTCCTCCCCCCCCCCTCTCCTCCCCCATCCTCATCCCCCCCTTCTTCTCCTCCTCCTCCTCCTCCTCCTCCTCCTCCTCTTCCTCCTCCTCCTCTTCCTCCTCCTTGTCCTCCTCCTCCTCATCATCATCATCATCCTTTTCCTCCTCCTCCTCCTCCCCCTCCTCCTCCTCCTCCTCCTTCCTCCTCCCTCCTCTCTCCGTTTCTTCCATCCTCCCTCCTATATGGGGGCCCTCTCGAGGCCGCCCCAAACCTGCTTCGCGTGGTCGAAAGCGGCCCCGGGATGGATGGATGGATGGATGGACGGATGGACCGCCGATTCGGAAGTGACGACGCGATGCCGCACTCTGGGCACGGAGAAGGGGCGGGCAGCGAGAGCAAGAGGAGGAGGAGGAGGAGGAGGAGGAGGAGGAGGAGGAGGAGGAAGGGACCCCCTAAGCCCCACCCCTACCCAGGGCGACCCCGAGATGCGACCGCGGGGGCCCTATGGGCCCTGTGCCTATTCGGGCCGACTTGGGGTCCTCCTGGAGATCCCATCGGGGCCCCCTTGGTCATTATTTGGGCCCTCCGGGCACCTTCCTATGTGGAACCTGTCTGGGGCTATCCTGAAACCATCTCGGGGACCCCATTGGGCCCTCTTGGCGCCCTTGCGGCCCCGCTCGAGCACCCTAGAGCCCCTTGCAACCCTCTCGGGGCCAATCGGTTTCTGATTGCCACGCGCCCGCCAGAGCCTTGTGCTCCCAGCAGTCCTCGGCATCGTCGCGGCTCACGCCCGCGCTGCAGAGGGTCCTGATGAACCAGTCGTGGTTCAGCTCGAGGTCCTTGCCCTCCGCGCTGTATTCGATCTCCCTGACGAGCGTGCGGGCACACGACTCGAACTCACGGAAGTTGCCTGACATGGTGTACTCCATCTCGAGCTTCTGGGCCCCCCCTGGATCCTCGTGCATAAGGTTGCCCCACAGGCCGTTCACCTGGGCTGAGGCAGGGGGGCAGCCCCCCTTTTCCGCACACCCCCCAGGGCCCAACCAGCTTATGCAACAAGCTAGCCAATTGTATAAGCTACTCGGCTGCCTTCTCGGGGCCATCTGAAGCTCTTCCTAAGGCCCCAAGATGGCTCCAAGAGGGCCCCGATGGGGGCTCAGGGAAGGCCCCGAGAGGGCCCCAGGAGGGCGTCCCCGATGTCAAGGATGAAGGCCGCCAACTTGACAGCAGCGAGGATTTCTCTGTGCCCCTCTCGAGGCTCTTCAGGCCCCAAGAGGGCCTGACATCGCCCGGAGAAGCTTCCAAGATGGCCCCAAGAGAGCCCCAAGAGGGCCCCGAGAGAGCTCCACAAGGACCTGAAACAAAACGTATGCAAGCGGGGCGTTGCACACGCTTGGTGTCGGGCCTTCCTGGAGCCCCCTTGGGGCCCTTGTGGGGCTCTCTTGGAACACACTTGGGACCCTCTGGGAGCCGTCTTGGACCCCTAGGGTGGGCCCCAAGAGGGCCTCCCCGATGTCGAGGGCGAGGGCCGCCACCTCGACGGCAGCGTGGATTTCTCGGCGCCCATCTCGGGCCCCCCCTCAGGCCACGAGAGGGCCCCGACATTGATCCAAAGGGCTTCAAATAAGGCCCCAACGAGCCCCAGGAGATCACCGAGAGAAGCCCGAGGGGACCTGAAACCAAGCGTGCGCATGCTCGGCGTTGCACACGCTTGGTCTCGGGCCCTCTTGGGGCCCTTGTGGGGTCTCTTGGAGCTCCCAGTGGGGCATCTTGGAGCCGCCCTGGGACCCCCGGATGGGCCCCGAGAGTGCGCCCCTGCTGCCGAGGACGGGGGCAGCCACCTTGACAGCAGCGGGGTTCTAGTTGGGGCCCCTCTTTGAGCCCTGCGCAGCAATCCTCGCTCTTCTGCGCCATGTTCCACGCGAGCGCCCTGTCCCTCTTGCCGCGCTCCTTGTGCTTCAACGTCTCCCTGTGCTGCAGATCCCCGACGCGGACCATCTTCGTGCAGGACGGGCAGGTGCGCGACTTCTTGCAAACCTTCGGAGGCGGCAATGTGTTGCCCGCTCCCGCTCCCCTTTCCACGGATCTGGATGGGCATAGCTGGCTTGGCCCCACCCCTCCCCGAGGGCTCGCCAGGAGCCCTCGCGAGCCGTCGCGGGCGCCCGCGACCCGCGGGGCCCTGCGGCCCATTCGATTTCGCGGGGCCGCGATCGGGCCCAGGGCGGCGCCCAAGATGGACCCGAGCAACCCCTGTGAGCGCGAACAGATCAGCTGCGTTGGATTGCGTACCCTGGCCGACCTTGTCCAAGTAGCAACTCCCCGAGCGCCGCTCCCGCCGCTGCTGCCCGCTGCCGTCCGCCTCGTGCGTCGCGAGCGCCTGCTTCGTCAGCCGCGGCGCCGACGGCGTCGGCCCGCGGGCCCTGCGGGCGGGGGGCTGCGGCTTCGGCGGCGGGGGCGGCGGCGCCGCCGCGCGGCCGCGGCCGCCGCGCCCCCTGCCGCCATGGGAGCTCCCTGCCCTGCCGCCGCGGCCAGCGCCCTTGCTGGAGGCCGCCCTGCCCATGCTGCAAGAGCGGTGGCAGGCTGGGGTCGCCGAGGCCCCCTGGCGCGGTGCCAGAAAGGCTGCAGGCGCACCTGGCGCCGCGGACGCCCAATGGGCACCGCCAACCCCACGGAGACATCGAAATGCGAACGGCCCCCCCGACGACGATCAAACGGTTCAGAACACGAGCGGGCGACCCGTTCGCAGCTCAAAATCCCTGGCTGGGCTGGGGGGCAGCAGCAGCGTCGCTGCGAAGTCGGCGGGGCGGGCCCTGAATCCTCCCTCTCGGGACGTCGGTGGGCCCCCCCGTGGGGGCGCGATCCGTGCGAGGGGGATCGAAATCAGCGCGTTGGCGCAATGCGAACCGCCCCTCTGGAGCCGTGCGTGGATTTCTCCTACGGGGCAAGATCCAACTGAAAGGTGTGCCGTAATGGAGGGGGGGAGTTATGCGAAGTCTGTCTCTTGCGCCGTCCAGGGCCCTATGGGGCCCAAGGCAAAGTCCTTGCCTAACGCGTGGTGCGTTCGGCAAGGACGCTGCCTGGCGAAGCGCCTCGGGCGCGATGCGCCCCCGCGCGTGCTACTGGCACAATTTCGAGCTTGCCGACTTCCCGCGCGGCGACATGAAAAAATGTAGTCGTCGAGAAATACGCGCAGCGCTCCGGCGGGAGGTGCATATTTTCCTGTCGTCGCGAAGCAGAATTTTGTCTTGGGGTGGAATTACGGGATCACTTCGCCTCGCCAGGCGGAACCGGAAAATCGCGGCGAAGCCCCCCCCTCCCCCCCCTCCTCCCCCGAAGAAATGCTGCCAAGGGCCCTCTTCATTTTTCAGGTTGGTTTAAATATGTTCGGGCTGGTTCATGTGCGTCCCTGCCTGATGTTGCTGGGTTTCGGGCTGGCTGTGGAATGATGTGGCATGTGCTTGGTGTGTGTCTGGTATGTGTTGGTATGTATTTGCTATGGTTTGGCATGCGTGTGGCATGCATTTGGTATGGTTTGGTATGTTTTGGTATGATGTGGTGCGTGCTTGATGTGCGGGTGGTATGTGTTTGGTATATGCTTAGTATGTTTTTGGTATGGTTTGGCATGCTATGGTATGTGTTTGGTATGTTTTGGTATGTGTCTGGTATGTGGTTGGTATGATCTGGTATGTGTTTGGTATGTGTTGGAATGTATTTGGTATGATTTGGTATGCGTTTGCTCTGTGCCTGGTATGTTTAGCTAAGGTTCGGTATGTTTTCGGTACTGTGTTGGCATGGTTTGGTATGTTTCCGGTATGGTTTGGCATGTGTTTGGTATGTTTTGGTATGGTTTGGTATGTTGTTGGTATGGTTTGGTGTGTGTTTGGCATGTGTGTGGGATGTGTTTGGTATGTTTTTGTATGCTTGGTATGGGTTTGGTATGTGCTCGGTTTGAGTTTGGTATGTTTTGGTATGGTTTGGTACGTTGTTTCGTATGGTTTGGTATGTGTTTGGTATGGTTTGGTATGCTTTGGTATGTGTTTGGTATGTGTGTTGCATGGATTTGATATGGTTTGGTATGGTTTGGTATGCGTTTGGTATGGTTTGGTATGTGTTTGGTACGCGTGTGGTATGATTTTGGTTTGTTTTTCGTATGTTTGGTATGTGCTTGGTATGTGTTTGGTACGTCTTTGTATGTTGTGGTGTGTGTTTGGCATGTAGTTGGTACGTGGTGGTATGTGTTTGGTATGTGTTTGGTATGTGTTCGATGCGTGTCGCTATGTGTTTGGTACGGCATGGTATACGGTTACTACGGTTTTGGTGCGGTCCGATGTGCACATGCAGTATGTGATGGCATGGTGTTGGTACGTGTTGGTATGTTGTGGTATGCGCTTTGTACACGTTGGCGGTAGCCGTTATGGTGTGGCATGTATTTGGTATGGAGCGCCATGGCTTGGTACACGGTGTTTGTATGTGCTGTATGTGGTTCGTCTGGCTTGGCGCGTACTCGCATTTTTGTTTGCATGGCGCGGGGTGTTGCTTTTGTTTTTGTTGTTTTGTTTTGTTTTTTTTTGCGCGGGTGGAGGGGGCGAGGGGGGCAAGAGCGAGCGTCCCAAGATCGGCCCAATAGAGCTTCAGGAAGGTTCCAAGGAGGCCGTATTCTTAAACTTTTCACGGCCATCCATTACCATGGTTTTCGGGCGTGGCTCATCAGGCTTCCGCGCACGTCCCCCTCTTCCTCTCACCTCCCACCTGCTATCTGCGACGCATTCTGGTTAGGCGGGGGGGGGGCGAGTGGAAAGAGGGCGAGGCGGGGGAGGAATAAGAGAAGGCCGTTTGGGGAGATATGGGGATAGCGACGCCGACGAGGAAGACGGGGATGGCCATGACTGTCGGCATGCGTTGCAACATGTGTTGTGCCAGTATAGGCTGGCGGGGGTAGGTGAATCGTGAGGGAGTTCGGGCAGCGATGTTGGAAACAAGCGATAGCGTTCTGGAGATGACTAGGACAACCCGATACCATCTCACCTGGAACTGATTGCGCACAGAAATCTGATGCACTCTCTGCCAAATGCGCTCTGCATACCGAGTGCGCTAAGCAACGCAGCTGGCCAATGCCAACTGATGGCGCGCCAGCTGCAGCGCTCGAGGCCCGAGGTGCTCTGCGGGCCGAGCTCTCTCGAGGCCGACCATGGTGACAGGGCGGCGGGCTCCTCACTCTGGCTCATCCTCCGTCTGCATCTGAGGCGGGTGGCGGTCCTCAGCCCTGTTGATCTCAATATGCATATGGGCGCAGCGCTGGTCGCCTGCGGTGGTGATACTCTCGGCGGCCCTCTTCATCTGAAGCGTCGCCGTCTTCAGCGCCTTGGTGCGCTTCTTCAGCCAGAAAACCTGGATGTTGAGCGAGCGGATGCGTTTGGTCTGGCGCAGGGCGGTCCTCCCGAGGGCCCGCGGGCCGGGTTGGCGAAACTCGCCGACCACTGGAAGGATGGGCTCCGCCGCCGCAGGGCGCTTCGCAGCCATGGGCGCCCGACTGGTGGTGGAAAGCCGATGCCGATGACATGGCAGCCCTGCCTGCGCTGGAGAAACATGGCGACGGCCCCAGCGTCGCCCCCCTCAAACTCCCCCACTCCTCATCGCGAGCAAAGCCGATGCATCACTGTCTACTCGAGCATCGCCGATGCGTGACTCTTCGGATGCACGTCGCCGATGCATCGGTCACCCTCGCTATGCCATGCGCGCAGGATTGCGTGCATCGCCGATGCATACTCTTGTGCTGTTTTGACGGACGGTATTCCATTTAGAAGCGTTACGTTTGGGTGGATGTGCGTTTATATGGTTTCATGTGCGTTGACCCCTCCCGTTTCCAGAACGCTGTTGTAACATGTGTGAATTCGTGAACACATTCATGCATGAGCAGGTTCCCCCGTTTGCATTGTTTACGTCGACAGCAGGCGGCGATGCAAAGATTCGAGCTCACCCCTCCGAGCTTCCAAGAAGGACCTGACGTCCTGAAGCTTCGGGTTCCTCGTGGCGTGTGAGGTGCCATCGGGGGGGGTCCAAATTCAACCAGCAATGAAGAAAAGCGAGCGGCTCCAGAGGTCCAACATTCCTCTTGGCCGAATCGATGTCACCCCGCGTCTTTCGGCACTCAGCGCCGTGCGCGAGGTTGATGCATTGAATTTTGAAGTTCTTGTAAACTGTGTTATGCTGCCCAGAAATGTACACTTGATACGAACTCTTGCAACCATCAAGGCCATCGATCCACCCCCAACGGAGTCGGTTGGGATTGCGGGGCGCGCCAGCGACGGCGCGCGGTGGCGGGCCAGCACTGGCGCTGGCACCGCCCACGTCTCCGTCTGGCGCGGCGGCGGGTGGGGCCTCTGGTGCCGCTGGCGAGCCCTCCGAGCCAAGCTGCTCGCGCAAGCCAACGGCATCGGCTCCACCGTCCGCGCCGCCGCCGCCAGGGACTGGCTGCGAAACGAAAGGCAAGGGTTCATCTCCGAGCGGGCCACCCAAGCGGCTGCCAGCGCTGCGCGCGGGGGCTGAGTCGCGCCCGCGCCGCCGCTGAGGGGCATCCTGGGGCGGCAGAGCTCCGCCGACGCCGTCGTCGTCTCCGCCAGCGCTCGGAAGCGCCAGCAAGGCTGGCGCATCCTCCAACGCCAGGTGGCGCGCCAGCTGCCCCTTCTTGCCGCTGGCCCTGTTGAGCGCCAGCGCGTACTCGATGCTCGACTGGCCAGGCTGGGCTGGGACGCCTCGCAAGAGGCATGCATAGTACTTCATGGGCTGGCGTGAGGGCATGTGCGAGGTGAGGGGCATGCACTTGTCGATGGAAGCCAGCGCCTGGAAGTACGGCTTCATCCTCACGGCCTCGGTCCCGCCCATGTCGCCGACAGCAGTGCTGACGTGGTCAACCTGGCGCTGCACCGATTTCCAACCCTTCGACTTCAAATGAATCACCACTGC